CTTAGTGTAATGTTCCGGTTGATCTTCCCCCTATATGCATGTACTTTCCATCTAGTATAGCATCTCTTGTCTTGTTCATACTTGGTATAATGTTCCGGTTGATCTTCCATTCATATGCAAATGTTTTTCATCTAGTCTAGCATCTCTTGCCTTGTTCATACTTGGTATAATGTTCCGGTTGATCTTCCCTTCATATGCTAGTGTTTCCCATCTAGTCTAGCATCTCTTATCTTGTTCATACTTAGTGTAACGTTCCGGTTGATCTTCCCCCTATTTGCATGTGTTTTCCATCTACTCTAGCAGCTCTTGTCTTGTTCATACTTAGTGTAGTGTTCCGGTTGATTTTTCCCCTATGTGCATGTGCTTTCCATCTAGTCTAGCATCTTTTTTTTTGTTCATACTTGGTGTAATATTCCGGTTGATCTTTCCCCTATGTGCATATGTTTTCCATCTAGTCTAGCATCTCTTGTATTGTTCATCCTTAATGTAATGTTCCGGTTGATCTTCCCCCTATATGCATATGCTTTCCATCTAGTCTAGCATCTCTTGTCTTGTTGATAGTTGATATAATGTTCCCGTTGATCTTCCCTTCATATGCAAGTGTTTTCCATGTAGTCTAGCATCTCTTGTCTTGTTCATACTTAGTGTAATATTCCGGTTTGATCTTCCCCCTATGTGCATGTGCTTTCCATCTAGTCTAGCATCTCTTGTCTTGTTCATACTTGGTATAATGTTCCGGTTCATCTTCCCTTCATATGCAAGTGTTTTCCATCTAGACTAATTACGCATTGTCATGGTCATACTTAGTGTGATGTTCCGGTTGATCTTCCCTTCATATGCAAGTGTTTTCCATCTAGTCTAGCATCTTTTTATCTTCCTCATACTTAGTGTGATGATCCGGTTGACCTTCCCTCCACATGCATCTGCCTTTCATTAGTCTAATCACTCTTGTCTTGTTTACACTTAGTGTAATGTTCCAATTGATCTTCCCCCTATGTGCATATGCTTTCCCACTATTCTAGCATCTCTTGTCTTGTTCATACTTAGTGTAATGTTCCGGTTGATCTTCCCCCTATGTGCATGTGTTTTTCATCTAGTCGAGCATCCCAATGTCTTGTTGATACTTAGTGTAATGTTCTGGTTGATCTCCCCCTTCGCGTGCATGTGCTTTTTTCATTAGTGTAGCTACTCATTATCTTGTTCATACTTGGTATGATGTTCCGGATGATCTTCCCTCTATGTGCATGTGCTTTCCATCTAGTCTAGTCTCTCTTTTGTCAAGTTTATATTCCGGATCTTTACTTTGTTCATCCATACTCTATGTGCATATCTTTCCAGCTAGTCTAGTCTCTCTTTTGTCAAGATTATATTCCGGATCTTTACTTCGTTGATTCATACTCTTTATGCATGTGCTTTCCACTAGGCTAGTTCTCGTTGTCAAGTTCATATTCCGGATTTTTACGCTGTTGTTCTCTTATTCTTTGTGCATGTGCTTCCACTGGTCTAGCCTCACATTGTCAAGTTCATATTCCAGATCTTTACTTTTTGAACTTTTCTCCATTGTGCAAGTATTTTCCACTAGTCTAGTCTTCATTGTCAGGTTCATGTTCCGGATCTTTTACTTTGTAGAACTCTTCTCTTTTGTGCATGTGTTTCCACTAGTCTCGTCTTCATTGTCAAGTTCATGTTCCGGATCTTTTACTTTGTTGAACTCTTCTCTTTTTGTGTGCGTGCTTTCACTAGTCTAGTCTCTAATTGTGAAGTTCATGTTCCGGATCTTTACTTTCTTAAACTCTTCTCCATTGTGCATGTACTTTCCACTAGTCTTGTCTTCATTGTCAAGTTCATGTTCCAAATCTTTTACTTTCTTGAACTCTTCTCTTTTGTGCATCTGCTACCACTAGTTTAGACTTCATTGTCAAGTTCATGTTCCGGATCTTTTACTTTGTTGAACTCTTCTATTTTGTGCGTGTGCTTTCCACTAGTCTAGTCTCATTGTCAAGTTAATATTCAGGATCTTTACTTTGTTGAACTCTTCTCCATTGTTTATATGCTTTCCACTAGTCTAGTCTCATTGTCAAGTTCATGTTCCGGATCTTTACTTTGTTGAAACTCTTCTCCATTGTGCATGTGCTTTCCACTAGTCNCTTTCCACTAGTCTAGTCTCATTGTCAAGTTCATGTTCCGGATCTTTACTTTGTTGAAACTCTTCTCCATTGTGCATGTGCTTTCCACTAGTCTAAGTCTCATTGTCAAGTTCTTGTTCCGGATCTTTACGTTGTTGACATCTACTCATTGTATATGTGTTTTCCTCTAGTTTAGTCTTCATTGTCAAGTTCATGTTTCCGGATCTTTACTTTGTTGAACTCTTCTCCTTTGTGCATGTGTCTTCCACTAGGCTAGTCTCTCATTATCAAGTTAATATTTCGGATCTTGTTTTGATGATCTCCTTCCCTATGAATAATGTATTTTCCATTTGTCTAGCCTCTCCTTGTCAAGTTATTCCAAGACATACTTATTCAATCTTTTTTTTTTTTTTTTTTCCCTCTCTCTCTCTCTCTCTCTCTCTCTCTCTCTCTCTCTCTCTCTCTCCCCCACTCTGTCTCTCCTTTTGCCTTGTCCCCTCTCTCCCTCCCCCTCACTTGGCATATGACTAACCCATTTTCCCCTCACTTGGAAACATTGTCAGGGTACGGACGGTAAATGAAATCAGACTTCACTTGGTGGAGAAAGAGGGCAAGGGTAGGATAGTCGGTCCCTTGTGTCACCAAGGAGGCAAAAGAGAAAGGACATTTAAAAAAATGGGAGAAAGGCGGGATCCGGAAAGAAGCATAAGTTGAGAAAGAGGTCAGTTTGACTCAATCATTTCCCCGACTGCATGACTATAAGAAGAGAGTGGGATGATTGAGCATCAAGAGGAAACAAAGAGCAGCCAAAGGATTTGAAACGATAGGCATGTGGGAAGGGCTATATGTTGACCCCCAACGGGGGATTGTATGGATCTTCTTGTTTATGTGAGATTGTGCAGGTGAGTAATGACTAGAAATGCCTTGAGCGGGATAGGGGCGAGAGGAACTGGGCATCAAGAGGAAAAGGAAAAGGGGACGAAGGGGCTAAGGGACCCTTGACATAGAACCAACCTATGAGAGTGACATTTGCGCTTGAGATTTGGGAGTGTGATTGAGAGTGCAATCTTATAAAGGAAATTGCGATGTTATGCGTGCATGCATATGAGGGCCCCGAAAAGACTAAGGGGCCCACTTCAATAAGGAAAACAGCAAATTGAGAGACCCGATGGATGCATAGAGGCAAGGGGTAGGACGGCTCCGCCACACCCCAATGACGCCAAATAGCCACATTGCTTAGGGAAATGGTGCGTGGCCTAAGGATGATGCTTAGCCTACGCACAAGAGAAGAGAAACGTTCAAAGAACCCTTGGACTGCCTGCGTATTGGAAGGAGCAATTGCATGAGAACACAACAAAGAAGCAAAAAAAAATCATCGTTGCGGAACGACAAGCGAGTCTGCCACACGGCGTGAGGGTTGAGCTACATCCCCAATGTCAAAGCTCTCTCGCGCGATGACCCACCCCCATTCATATCAAAGCAGTAGGTGGGGGTGACTCTGCAACGAACAGCCCGTGCCCTTAGCATGAGTGTGGGCGGGCCGAGCCAACTGGGACCCGCAGTGGGGTCGACTAAGGCTCGAAAGTCTACCGGGGTTTGGCTCTACACCGGGTCCGCATGAGTGCAGGAGGAAGCAGTGGGAAGGAATGTGGGAGGATTCAGAGACGTCCGGAGGGGGTTTAGGGGCCAAGAAACCAGGCGTTGGGAACGCGAGGACTCGGGGGATAAAGGCCGCCGGGAGCAGAAACCGTGGGGGCCTCCGAGGGCTCGACCTCGGGTGGAAGATTTAGACTTAGCTTGGCACAAACCCTACGATCCGGCGATAAATGGGCCGGCGGAAGGTCCTTACTTTCGTCGATATGACGACCGACGAGTCCCCTTCTACGATGTGAACCTAGGGTTGAAGTCGCTCTACTTTAACGGAAGGGACGTGACCAGGTTCGTAGAGAAATGGGAGAGTTTCATCTACCGGAAGAAGTTCTCCGAGAAAGAATGGATCGACCACTTTATACAACATTCGGACCCGGAACTGGACCAGGCTATTAGGGCCATATACCCTGCTGATGAGAGGTAGAAAACCTTCAAGAACAGCTTATTGAGGATCTTCGCATGTGACGATCTGATCCCCACGATAGAAGGGCTGTGTCGGGTTACGAGAGGGGAGCAAAAGAGCCTGGGGGCATTTACTCGAAGGTTCAAACATTTGTCGCAAGCTTTGGTGGATAGAGGGATGCTCTCCGAAGTAGACAGGTGCGCGATTTTCATGTTGCACCTGCCTGAGGAAAAGACGAAGGAGGTTCTCGAGAGGGCCCTTAAACACTCTGCGAATTTCGATAGAGTCGCCAAGTTAGTCTTCACGGGAGGGGGGGTAGATGTGCGAGAGTACATGAAGGAGAGTCTGGACATGGCATTCCGGAGTATGTGTGCTCAAAGGAACGACGGTCCTCATGGAAACGGGAGGCAGCCTCCGGCGCCTCCCGGACAACGCTGGGGAGGCGGGCCCACGGGTTGGAGGAACAAACCCGGTAACCAAGGGAACTGGAGAAACGATCGAGAGGCTGGAGGGAATCGGGGCTCGGAATGGGGGATTCCCGTTGGAAGGATGCGACGGATGGAAGATAGGGAGACCCACCCCAACCTAGGATCGCGGGGACTCGCCCCGAAGTGAGTCAGACTAGAGCGCCGCAGCCGTCAGGTCCTCCAACTACCATGGGGGCGGCGCCTCAAGGGGCCCCACGCCCTAACAATCCGCCGCCTCGAAGCGGGTGTGTCTATTGCAATGAAGACGATCACATCAAGCGGGAGTGCCCTCACCTTACGGAAGCCCTAAGGTTAGGAGTGGTAAAATTGAATGAGAACAAGTGGGTTGTTTGGGGGGATGATGGAAAGGCGGTCTCCTTCTATCCCTCGATGAAGGTAAATGTGGACAAGAGGATAGCCCTACAAGAGGTAAGACTGGGGAAGAAGTCTGAGGTTGGTGGGACCTCCAACTCATTTCGCGTCCAAATGACGGAGGCGCCGGGAGGCGTGTCCATAAGGGAGTCACAGGTGTCTATCATCAAATTCGTGGAGACCAAGCCGGAAGAAGAGGGACCATGCCTAAGAGTAAGGACCAAAGTTGGGGCCGGGCTGTCTAAGAGCAAGGAGATCGCAACGGAAGGCGGAGGGAGACGGAGCGGTGACGACGACCAACCAATGGTCGACGCCAAAGTCGCGGAGGAAAGGAAGGGGGAAGAGCCCACGTCACCTAAATCGCCTAGGAAGAGAGGATCGAAGAAGTTCGAGATGAAGTGCACCTTGGACGAGATAGACACGGTTGCTCCCCTGCGAAGGACTCTAATGCAGTCGATGCAATGCACTCTCCTGGAGTATTCGGCGGCCAGCAAGAGCTCTAGGGACGAGCTCTTGAGCATCACCAAGAAGGTGAGGATTCCGCTCGCAGGAGGGCCTACAGGTCCTGGGGATGGACCCGCCAAGGAGGAGGTGCAGTCCTCTCGAATTACGATGGAAGAACTGCCAGCCAGTTTCTTCTCGGAAGAAGAAACTAAGAAATTTTATGTGCTTGGGAGTGGCCAGCTCCAAGCCATGGTGCGTGGGAAGAAGATGAGGGTCCTGCTGGACAATGGGTCCGAATCTACCGTGTGTCGGGACTCTATCGCAAAGGAATTAGGGGTGGAGGTGGATAGAGGGGTATCCATGTTCATGTTCGTTGCGGACAACAAGCTCCAACCGGCGGAAGGGGTATGTCACAGCCCCTTGATTGAGGTCGCAGGTGTGGAAGCTACAATTCCAATTTTCTCGGTGAAGGAATGTTCTTCCGAGTTGATCCTCGGGAGGACCTGGCTGAGCGCGGTCCACGCTACCACAGTCGACCTTCCCGACGGGAGTCAAACTCTCTCGATCCAAAGCCCGGATGGGATCTGAATGGTCCTAAAGAATATGGATGCTCAGGGTGAGCGGAACCGAACCAGTATCCCAAGGAGGAGGGAAACCCAGCCGCGAGTGTGCCGGGTCCGACAATAAGAATCCCCCTTCACCGGGAAGGAACCCCCGGGGGACCAGGTGGACGTCGAGGAGGTTGGGGAGCGAATTGTGATCAATGGGGTGGGGTACGAGAAAGAGGACGAGGAGGAAGAATTCGGTGGGTGCGTAAGGGTGTCTTCTTTGGAGGAATCCCCCTAGCCGACGGAATTAAAAAGCATAAAACCATGGCGGAGAAAGTAAAGCCCACTGCGGTCAGCCGGGATAGAACGGGGGAAGCATCGATATCGGGGGAAGAGATAGTCGAGATCATCCGGAAACGAAAAGAGACCGAGGGACAGCGAATCACGGTCGACAGGCTGGCGAAAATGGACATAGGGGATGGAAATCTCTCGGATCGAGGGAAGAAGTATGTGGCTAAGACCCTAAGGGACTACGATAAGGCCATAGCTTTCGATGACTCGGAAAGAGGGAGGATCAACCCGAGGTACGTCAAGCCCGCCCGGATCCATACGATCCCTCATGTGCCTTGGAATGATAGGCCGCCGTGGAAGTATGCGCAGAAAGGAAAGGAAGAGATAATAGCCTTCATCAAAGAAAAGATAAAGACGTCTGTGGCAGAACCTTGTGAGAGCGCCTACTCGAACAAATGGTTTTTTCTAAGAAAATGGAGTAGCAATAAATTGAGGTGGATCCAAAATCTCCGAAGGACCAATGCGGTCACCTTACGGGATGTAGGGTCTAATACCAGAGGCGGATGTACTCACGGAAGGATCTGTCGGTCGCTCGATCTATTCAATCTGCGATCTCTTCTTAGGCTATGATGAGATCCCCTTGGATTACCGGGATAAACACATAACCGCAATGCACACACAAGGTAGAGGTCTTCCTTGACGATTTCCCATAAAGGGGCCGATCGAAAAGGATGAGTCCGAGGTCTTCCCCGGAGTGAGAAAGTTCGTGGTTGACCACATGAGGGATGTTAGAGAAGTCCTTGCGAAATTAGACGACGCCAACCTTACTGTGAGTGGGACTAAGAGTCGCTGGGGAGTGTCGTCGATCAAGATATTGGGCTTCGTCTATGACAAGGATGGGCGGAGGCCCGATCCGGCGAAACTTGAAAAACTGATGACCTAGTCGTCGCCTATAAAGTCGGTTAGGCAATTTCTAGGGGTGGTGGGCTACAGGAGGATATTTATAAAAAGCTACAGCGAGAAGGCGGAGCCTCTAAGACGGTTGCTTAGGGAAGTTGAGGGATGGGTCTGGGGAGAAGAGTAGGCCACGACCATGGAAACCCTTAAGGAGGAATTCCGGGAAGGAGGATAGGTCATAGGCGTTCCATTCTTCGAGGACGAGGAGAGCCGCCCGTTTATAGTTTCCACGGACGCGGGGCCTTGTTCCGTAGGAGGGCTTCTGTCGCAAAAGTATCAAGAGGGGAAAGATAGACCCCTTCAATTTGGGAGTCGAGCCTTAAATCCCGCCGAGAGGAACTATAGCCAATTCAAGAAAGAAGCGTTGGGGGTATTGCACTGCCTAAAGATCTTCCGTCATTAGATCTACGAGAGGCGTTTCCTCCTTAGAGTGGACCCAACCGCAGTGGCAGTTGTCCTTCAAAAAGACTTCTCACTAACCGACCCGACTATCGCTAGGTGGATGATCCACATCAGGCTCTATGACTATAGGGTCGAGAGGATGTCTGGGGCCAAGAATCATGTCGCCGATGGGCTGACCCGACTCCCAATCCGGCAGGAGGATTACCAGAGATTGGAGGAAATAAGAATAGCAATGTCCAAGGAAGGAATGATCCAAGTAACCGCTAACAAGGCGCGAGTCGGGGTGACCATCCAAGAGGAGGGTGAAAGTTCTGGGACGTTCCTCGCTAACCTGTACGACGGGAAGTACCGCGATATAGGGTTGTACCTAGCGGGCAGGGAGGAAGGCACTGAAGTTATCAAGAGGGAGGCGCTCGGGTATTGCCTACGAGGAGGCCACCTCTTTAAAAGGCCCACCAAATTCGCAATCCCTATGAGGGTCCTTTGCGACCCGGAAGAGAGGAAAACGGTTATATAAGAATTACACAATGGGGTTGTCGGCGGACACCGGGGAGTAAAAAGGACATTTGATAATGTTCGACGACTTTACTGGTGGGATGGACAATACAAGGAGGTCGAAAAATATTGTTCGACTTGTGAAGCCTGCCAAATAAGGGCGACGGTTCGCTATAAGGAGCCCGTAGTTTCGTCGCTCCCCACCGTGTCGGGCAAAAAAGTCCATGTAGACTTGGTAACCATGCCTAAGGGAGTCAACTTCGGTACATAATCAACGCCCGCGACGACCGAGGAGGTGAGTGACTTTTTCCTAGAATACATTGCAAGGTACGGGTGTGTCAGGAAGATTGTCATGGATAGGGGGTCCGAGTTCTCAAGCCAAAAAGTCAAGGCGATATTAGAAAAGGCAGGGATTAGGGCGGCCTATACCTCCGCCTATCACCCCCAAAGCAACGCCCCGGTCGAAAGGGGCCACCAAACGCTTGTAGATGACTTAGCCAAGTGGTGCAAGGGGTGTGCGAAGCAATGGCCAAAGTACTTGCGCTATGCAGTGTGGGTTGACAACATCACGGTCAAGTCGAGTACGGGGTATCCCCCTTACACCCTTTGGTTTGGGAGACATTGCCCTCTGCCCATCGAACTCCACATGGACACTTGGACGAGTGTCGCGTGGAAGACCAACATGACGAGGGGCGAATTGTTAGAGGCGAGGATACAACAAATAGCTGAAAACCTTGACGCCGAGCTTACCGAGGCGGGGAAAAATATCGAGAAGGAGAGGACGAAAGGGAAGGAAAGGTGGGAAAAGAACTTGCGGGTCCGACAGAAGCCGATAGGGACTAGTGACCTCGTCCTAATGTACGACTCATCGATGGAGAAGACTTGGAGCAAGAAGTTAGCCAACCGGTGGATGGGGCCATATCGGGTCCTAAGAAGATTGGATGGGGGAGCATATCTCCTCGCCGAATTAGACGGAACCAGGTTACGGGACCCTATCGCGGGGGCTCGCCTCAAACTTTTTCGACCAAGAGGGACCCTTAGAGAAGAACCGAAAAGGAAAGGGAAAAAGGCAGTTGACGCAGAAGTGACCATCACCTACGAAAAGGGAGAGACGTCGCAACTAGGGACCTCTTCACGACCACCCAAGAAGAGATATAAGGTTCGGATACCTTCCCTGCCCAAGACGCCTAGGAAAAAGAAGAGGTCAAGGGACGACGACAGTGATACCGACCAGCTAGGAAAACGCAGGTTGAGAGAAAGAAAAAACGCCTCAAGGAAGGCCTGGAGAACCAAACGCGAGAGAGAAGAGAAGAAACGAAAGAAAGAGAGGCGAGACAAGAGGATGAGGAGGCGCAGACGGGTGTAGAATTTCTTAGGGGAAAAGAGGAACTGTACCATAGCTAGGAAAAAACAAGTATAAAAATTCCAAAGGGGAGAAACTAAGGGAGATTGTACCATAATTAGGCAAGGTCATTTAGGAACCGAAAAAGGAGGGAAGATGCGATCCGATAAGGGTGGTAATACAAACCATGGAAAAGCAAATATGCAAAAGGGTGTGTCGGGGAAAGGATCATTGGGTGTGGGGCAAAAAGGCTACGGGAAAGCTCGCCGGGGACGACGAGAATTGGGTTGTGGGCTGGTTGTCGCGCGGCTGCCTATCAGCCGAACACTCCCCTTTGCCCACAAGGAAGAAATTTGGGTGGTTTTTTTTTTTT